GATATACAACTAGAAGAATTCAGTGAAGTCATTTTTAGGGAATGACATTCTTCTAAAGAGCTTCTCCAGATTAAAACATCCAATTTCTTCATTTACTTTTGCTCTTATATTCATTGTGTGTAGTCATCACAGTAAAAACTACCATTTACTCAACAAACTAATCTTCCCTAGGCATTGCTCTAATTATTTTACATACATTATCTTATTTCATCCTCAAAATAAAATATTAGGGTGTGAAATATGTCAACAGGAACAGAAACAAAAGGAGTAGAACTGAGGAAAGTACTGCTAGGCTTTCCTCTGGTCCTTGTGAATCATGATGTTTTTAATGATCACACTTCTTATATGGAGGACCCATTGCTGCCTAGATGATCTCTTTTCATAGATTTGGTGTGCAGTATAGTCAGTTTTTCAGAGTTGTATGTATTTTTCGATTCTCTAAGCTTGACTTATATTTTGTCTCAAATCAGACTTTCAAATAGAGATGTAACAGGGTTTTCAGAGATCTCTATGAGGATTTTAAAATTTGCTATGTTAATGTTAATCTAAAAGCTTATACGTTTAAAATTTTTTAAATTTATTTACTAGTTTCCAAAATAATGAGTTATTTCCCTAACATTCTCTGCTGGTGACCAGTGACTATTTTTTTCTCCTTGAGTATCATTAACTCACAAATTTATTCGTTTCAACTGCTTTATTCCATTGTAGTTAATATTTTTATCGATGCCCAAATTATTTCATCTTTGGCTATAGAGAGATTTCCCACTTGACTTCTGTGTTTAAAAGCATGTCTTAACAATTTGGATAAACTACCTTGCAAACAAGTATTGCCATTCAATTTCAGTGCCCAAGTTTTATTTTCATTCTTACTGGTACATTATAGTAATGCTTCGTTTGTTTTAGTCTAATGTCAAATGAACAGAGATAAAAGAATAGACCTAATATGTAAATGGTACATTTATATCAAGTTGAGGTGAAAATATGTCATAACATGTTCCACGATGCTGGTTTTGTGGTAGTTTATATAGGGGAAAGTGGGGGAAATGGAATCAACACTTGGTATGTGGTGAGGTATTCATGATAAACTTTTAGAATCTGCACCATTGCAGTCAGTACCACAGTCTGTGTGGAACACTGATTTAGTTTCAGCAAAATAGCATTATCCATCATAGTATTATAAATTAATATTAAATTGAATTTTATTAGTGTTGTTTTGTTTTTATGTAATTTCGAGTTTGGTTTGCCTTTCCATCTAATTAGAAGTTATAATCCTAAAGAGTTTAAAACAAATTTTATCTTTTGGTTTTTGTATTTTAGGAGTTATCAAATTGGTTTTGTACATCATGAATAGATTTTGTGCCATGTCTGTTGTATTATTGCTACTTTAAGTGTAGGTTCTAATTTTATTACATGTTTAGTTTTGTATCTTAGGTGGAGGATCTGTTTTTGCCATGATGTTTGTAGGAGTGATTAAAAGAAATCTTCATCTCACTCATTTACCTTTTACAGTTCAGTTTTTTGGTCTTTATGTATTAGCCTGTTCATCTGTTCAATGGCTTATGATACATCTTTTGAGAGTTTTAAAATGAGGTTGCCAAATAGTTTGTCTAACTTTTTATCTTATTTCTGAAATGATCAATTTTCTAACATCTGTTATTCCTCCTAGATTTTGGGGGTAATGTATCATTTCTGTTGTTCTGCAATATTTTCCCATATGTTCCATGGTGAGTTTTTTGTTGTTGTTAGCAGTGATATTGTGTGTGTGCATGTGTGTGTGAAAATTCCTCTTCTTAATCAGCTTTTAGTTACAGCTCAGGATTTGTTAGCAAATAAGCCCACATGAAAAGGATGCTGGCAAGTTCTGCTTCTGGCATTGGTAGATAAGATTATTTTGGATCAACTCTCCCATTCAGATCAACTGGAAAGGCAAAAAAATTGTAAAAAATAATATTATGAAACCATCAGAGAACTACCAAGGCAGTGAGGAATTTTATAGTCAAGATCTGGCAAAAATAGAAGTCCAGAAGGAAGAGTCCTACATTTGGGACTCTTTCTCTGTCAAGGCAGTAGCTGATTTCAAAAGAGTTGGCTTAGAAGCAGATAAGATTAGAACTATCTGTAGACTCAAAGAGGCTAGAGAGACCAAAATTGGAGTTCAGGAACCCTCCAGCTTTTGATTGAGACCCCAAAGAGTGATAGCCTAGGAAAAATGGTGAATTGAAAATCAGAGCAGTGATAAATTGAAAATTGACCAGTGCTGATGGGGACAGAAGCCCAGCTTTGAATCATCTCAGTTCTAATGAATTAAGGTACATTGGGTTTCCTAGTGACCGTAGCCTGACTTCCTGATAGAAGCAAACCCAAGTCCCTTCTGAAGGAAGATGTCATCATCCAGAGCTTTAAATAGCTCCACAGTTTTCATATACAATGTCTATCACATGATAAAAAAAATACTCAGGCATAAGAAAATACAAGAGTTGACTGAAAACCAAGGGAAAAAACAGACAAGAGAAACAAGTAGGAGATTATAAAATAACTATGATTAACCTGTTCAAGAAATTAAAAGATTGAGGGCTTCCCTGGTGGCGCAGTGGTTGAGAGTCTGCCTGCCGATGCAGGGGATACGGGTTCGTGCCCCGGTCCGGGAAGATCCCACATGCCGTGGAGTGGCTGGGCCCGTGAGCCGTGGCCGCTGAGCCTGCACGTCTGGAGCCTGTGCTCCGCAATGGGAGAGGCCACAACAGTGAGAGGCCCGCGTACAGCAAAAAAAAAAAAAAAAAAGAAAAAAGAAATTAAAAGATTGAGAATTTTGACAATTGAAAACTCTAAAAAAAACCAAACAAAAAAGACAAAAAATGAAAATTACAGAAACTGAAAAATATAACTAAGATAAACAAACAAATAAATTAGAAAAAAACCATCAACAGATGGATTAAGTAACAGCTTGTATACAGTTAAAGAGAGAATTAATAGATTGAGAGATAGATCAGCATAATATATCCAAAAAGAAGAATGGAGGCATGGATGAACAATACAGAAAAGAGCATAAATGACCCATGGGATTTGGTAGAAAAGATAAAACTTAAATCCAACTGGATTTCCAGGAGAGGAAAGAAAGAATGACGCAGAAAGAATGAAGAGATGTGGCTGAAAATTTACAACACATGAAAGAGATTAAGCTACAGATTCCATGATCTCTGTGGGTCAGAAATGGGATAACTACAAGTAAAGCTGTACATAGTCGTATCATTGTAAAACCATTGACACTCAAAGTCAAAGAGAAAATCTTAAAAAGAGCCAGAGCTGTAAGGGGCAAATTACCTTCAAAAAGAAGCAATGATTAGAAATGTCAGCTGACTTTACTTCCAAAAGGATAATCAACTTTACTTCAATTAAAAAAAAAAACTATGAAAAAGGATACTGACATCAGGCTTAGCTTGAAAGATGCAAATAATAAACACAGGAAAAGTTAGTAGAGCTGGTTCTGTCACTAACTTATGTGATCTAAAGTCATTTTACCTTTCTAGTCCTTTTTTAATGTTACAGTTTGGATTTGAGCTTTTTAATTTTAACATTGTACAATTTTATTCTGACTCTTTGTCATAGATTACTGATATGCTATTTTGTGTTCACTGTGTAAGACCTCTTGACTACTTACATGTTAAACATAGTTTTTTATTTTACTTGTGTATAAATTACTCTCCAGGTAGACCTTAGTTCTCCCAGGCCTCATCTGTATGTTTCCTGGATTGATAGTCTAGGTCCTACGGCTGGTGAACACTCAGGCAAGATGGTATTGCACAAATGCCAGTTTAGAGAAGCAGGGAACAGAGGGTATGGAAATATTAGCTTTTTCTTTCTTTCTTTTTTTTTTCCAGAAATGAGAGTGGTAATAGAGATAAATTGTTGAAATTCTAACTCTACTTCTTTTAATCCAGCCTATTTTAACCTTGGTTCTCCAGAACAGCTAAGTCCAAACAACCAAAGTGAAAAAGGATTTACTCATTTGTGACTCATATTCTGTTTCAGCTGTGCTCTTCCTTCAGTTGAAGCTACTTTCTTTCTGCACAGTTCCCCAAGGAAACCAACTTATTTCCTCCATCAGTGGTGTTCTACCTTTTAATTCTGGCTGAATTTAGGAAGCCCTCTCTTTTCAATCAATTGTTTTGTTTTGACATTCTCTTTAAAGAGTTACAGATGACTTGTTTTCTGGATCCATACATTATTTTTATTAATATTATTTTTTATTCATCCTTGGCTAAAATGTCTAGACCAGAAGTTTCTCAGCAATTCAGGGTATGTGGATTTTCCTAAGTTTTACTCTTTGTTCCTTTGGGTTTTTGTTGAATCCCCTTTTCAGGTCAATAGTTCTGTACAGCTCTGGATTATATTCTCAGTATTAAGCGTGATTTTATTTATTGTAGCCCTTTAGGTCTTAAAAGATGTTGTCTTATATTCCCTGCTGGCTAACTTCCTAATAACCTGAAGAGAGCATTTGGACAACTGTGATCCTAGTTTGTACTAACAGTCCAACATCTGACCACATGGTTTTCCGGGATTTGAAATCTCTGAATGAATGAAAGGTACTCTGCTACAGAATTGGGCAGTGCACTTTTTTTTCAAAGCAGAAGTCACTGTGACAGCTGTTCATTTTCCTGTTTATTATAGATCTGAGGTTTCTGAAGGAATGTTTAGAAGGAAGGCTTTCTCTTTTTCAGATGTGTTGGCCTTGTTATGTTTCTAAGCATGGGCACAACAATCTGATGGTAATAGAAAGATGGAATAGGTAGTGACAGATGCTATTTAAAACCAGATGTTAGAATTGGGTCTTAAAATATTTATGTTTACTATTTTTATATTTCTATTAATATAACTTAGTTCAAAATTTTCTCCGATATAAATTCTCTTTGGGAACCCAGATAGTTCATGAATAGCTTTAAAATCTCTAGGCTTATTTGTATCTGGAAGTTTTTTAAACTTCATTGTATCCTTTAATTTAGTTAAAAGAAAGCTTGGAGCATTCAATAGGCCAACTGCGGAGTCAACGGTTATTGAGAAACTCAGGAGGGAGAAGTATTTCTGTTACAAGTCTGAGTACAAGTGACCTCGATGGTGGCACTGTGACAGGTAAACTCTTCAGATGTTCTGAAAACCTCTTCTTTGTCTTAAAAATATTCCTGAAGTACATATTGGATACATGTAGTATTTAGACAAATATAACCCATACATAAAATCATACAAATAAGATGTTAGAAGTATACTTTGAAGCATGTTCAATGGGACTTTGATATTCTGAGTCTGTTACTTTTTTCTTCTCAGGCTCTGTAGACCATGTAGAGCTTCACCTGACAGAACCTTATTTAATTGTCTGCCTCCAGTCAAAACACACACACAAATAGGATTTACTGTGTGGTGTACTTTCTGGATTAGAAATCTTGTCCTAGGTTCATAGTTTTTCAAAAGTCTCATTATGAAATATCCTGTGACACTTGTTAATAACAGGGGAATTTTATCCTTGGTGTGCAGCTCGATTTCAATGGCTACATAAAAGGTGATAACACTTAGTTTGCATATAATTATACTTTCCTACAGCACTGAGGTTCATGTTTGAATAGAAGAGACTTAGAAAAGTCTGCAGTGAAGAGAGGCGATTTAGACAGAGTGAACATTAGTAGCTTGTGTTGTTAATATCATTATTGGTCGTGATAATAATGATTAAAAATCACAATCAGCTATATTTCTTTATGTAGTTTAGTTTATACTGATTTTTTATTTATTTATTTACTTTTTTTGCGGTACGCGGGCCTCTCACTGTTGTGACCTCCCCCGTTGCGGAGCACAGACTCCGTACGTGCAGGCTCAGTGGCCATGGCTCACAGGCCCAGCCGCTCCGTGGCATGTGGGATCCTCCCGGACCGGGGCGTGAACCCGTGTCCCCTGCATCGGCAGGCAGACTCTGAACCACTGCGCCACCAGGGAAGCCCTATACTGATTTTTAAACACCATTCAGATTTTAGATAATTTGTTATTTGAAAAATTCTGTTTTGTTAGTATTATTTTAGGGAGTCATAAAAGTTATTATTTTTTTTAACAACTTACTATTTTTATGTAAGAGAAAATACTATATTGCTTCTTTGAAAAGTATAGCCAATTAGAATTTTTGATGTGTTCTAGTTCCAGGTTATTTCAATTGTTCATTTTATCTGCTTTAAGAGCAAGATAAGTGCCAATTTTGTGGAATTTTATGGCCACAGCAAGATATTTGTTTGTGATTGTCTGTGGGAAATAATCCAGGTTGAGGGCACATGTATATATCCATGTCTGCTGTGTATTTCCTGAGTAAAATTTTAGATTGTTTCTTCTCAAGTGGTGTTTTTAATCCTTTCCCTTTTCTTTCTTCTGTAAAGAGAGCCACCGTTTTCCACCTACCTCACCTCTGAAGGACTATGGGGATCAACAGGGTATTAAACGAAATAGGTCCAGAACTGGTGTCCGATTTGTTCGGGAGACTGATGACATGGGCCAGGTATTTTGTACCCATTCTGTAGTCTGGTTCCTTGCATTTCTATTTAAATCACTAACACTTGAATTTTATGGCTGTATTTTAACTAAGAGTTTGATCATCACTAATTTTGTAATGATTTTTTTTTTAAACCAAGTAAAGTATTTTATTTTCAATGTGTTGATCATCATCATACATTTATTTTGAATTTTGTTATGGAGGATTATATTTTGTAGAACATTTAAAAGTGAGTTTAGCTGGACATGTTTTGTTTCCTTGCTCAGATGGCTTGCTCTTTTCCAAGCTCTGCTAAGTCAGCTAGTTTCTATTTTTCTAAGTTTAGTTTAGTATGAATAAGTTAGTCTTTGTGTGGTTAACCTATTGATTTTTCCATTAGTGTTTTTCTGATTTGCTGAATCACTGATGGAGCCACTTTGTATTAAGCAGGAATTCTAGGCTTTTTCTATGTATTCACTAAAGATTTTGAAGGTATTAGTTCTATAGCTATATTTCTTTTTCTGCCTCTTTAAACTTCTATGCAAGAGCTGAAAAAAATTTTTTTTGTTATTGTGTTGGGTAGCTAAATTAATTAGATAAGGACTAGGAGATGTTGCTGACTTAGACATCTTTGTTTTGGTAGTTTTAAGATTGAGGACTCAGAGTTTGTTAGGATACTCATCTGTAGCTTTCCCTTATTATAACATAAGATAAAGAGATAACAGAACCAAGTGCATTAGAAGACGCCTTGTAGAAACTTTTCCTTGACAGTGTTATTTTTTGGTAGGTGCAACTTGCTAGTGTGGATTATGTGATAAAACCTAGAGCAGAGAACAATATCCTAATATTACTTACTCTTTCATTTTATTTATTTAGTGCCTTTGTCCTGGGACAGTGCTTGGGCTTGGAAACAGTGATGAGCAAAAACCTTGCCTTTTCACAGAGCTTACAGTTTAGAGGGGGAGCTAGATACTAATCAAAAAGTATGTAAATACACCCATAATTGTGAGCCGAGATGCTTGCTCTAACGGAAGGAAGCATAGGGCTATAGGAGTGTTTATAGAGGGACCTGCCGCAGTTAGGGAAGGCTTCCCAAAGAAAGGCTGATTGAGCTGAGATCCGAAAGTTGAGTAAGAGTCATTTGAGGTAGAACAAATACCTTGGCAGGAAGGAAGATAGCACCTATGAGTAATTTAAAGAAGGCCATGTGGCTAAAGAAGTGTGAAACCCTGAGACCATGCACAGCCACGTAAGAGGGTGACAATTACTTTGAAAAGATCACTCTGGCTCTAGTGTAGAAAATGGAGTCAGTGTGGGTAAACCAATTAGAAGGATATTGCTGTGTTCTGGGTGTGAGCTGATGGCCACTTGGATTAGGATAAATGGAGTTGGAGAGAAAGTGGTAGATTTAAAAACTATTTGGTGGATAAAATGAAAGGTCTTGAAGATCAGATGACCATTTGGGGAGGGCGGGAATGAGTGAAAAGGTGGTGTCAAAGATGAGTCCTAGGACTCTGCTTTGCAAAACTGGAAAATCATCACAGCAAAACCTAAGTGAATGGTCTGTTGTTCATCTGCTGTATTACCTCCACTCCTTTCTTTTTAATTGTTCTTCCTTGTTTTAGTCCATTTCTTATGATGACCTTTAGCTCCATATGACTGTTTACTTTCTTAATGCCCCAGTGCAGCATTTGTGGTTTTGTTTACATATCTGTCTCCCATGACACTTGTTTCCCAGCACAGTTGCTGGCACTGGTTAGTTGCACAATGTGAATTTGTTGAAATGAATCAATTTTTTATTTCTGCAAGTCTGTATAACTTAGTTTTTTATTATAAATTATAGCCTACACATACATGTATAGCATACATATTTACCATTAAAAGTACAACAATATGAAAAATCCATGTAACTACCACCCAGACCAAGAAATAGAGGTTTATAATACACCCCAAACCTCTTTTACACTCCTCCTTTCCCCAAGGGCTATCAACTATTTTGACTTCTATGTTAATCATTCTCTTGATTTTTAAAAATATTTTTACTGCTTATATCTTGCTTAGTATTGCCTGTGTTAAACTTTATATAGATGGAATAATGCAGTGTAACTTTTTTTGTGACTTTCCTTTTCCATTTAATGTTTTGTTTTTGGAGTGTAGGTAGGTTTGATCATTTCATTTTCACTGCTGTGTGATACTCCGCTGGAGGAATATATTGCAGTTTATCTCCATTTCATTCTTAATGGACTTTGGTTTGTTTTTAGTGTTCTCATCATGAACAGTGCTGCTCCATACATTCTTTTTTTTTTCTTTTTTTTTTTTTTTTGCGGTACGCGGGCCTCTTACTGTTGTGGCCTCTCCCGTTGCGGAGCACAGGCTCCGGACGTGCAGGCTCAGCGGCCATGGCTCACGGGCCCAGCCGCTCTGCAGCATGTGGGATCTTCCCAGACCGGGGCACGAACCCGTGTCCCCTGCATCAGCAGGCGGACTCTCAACCACTGCGCCACCAGGGAAGCCCTGCTCCATACATTCTTGTTCATGGTTCCTCATGCATGTGGGCAAGGGTTTCTTGGCAGCATGGGTTGGCATGCTGAGGCATGTGGTCTAGTTCAGTAAAGTTCCGTAACACAGCCATGCTCATTTGATTATGGCTACTTTTGTGCTATAATGGCAGAGTTGAGTAATTATGACACAGGCCATAGAACCTGAAAGCCTGAAATATATGCTATTGTACTGTTTACAGAAAAAGTTTCCAGACCTCTTTTCAAAAGTATCTATAAAGAGTGAAATAGTGCACTATAGAGGATGTAATGGTCAATGTTATATATAGTTTTAAAAACTTTTCTTCGAGAGAAAAAATTTTATTAGGTCTTGATAACATTATAAAATATGGGTATTATTGCAAAGAGCAAGTTCTTATTCTTACCCTCAGTGAATCTTTATGGAAGAATTCAACAGAATCCTAAATGGATAACTTTGTTTTGCTTTTATTAGTTTCATGCTTTTCATCAGTCCCTCCGAGACCTCAGCAGTGAACAAGTTCGCCTTGGAGATGATTTCAACCGGGAACTTGCCAGAAGAAGCCGGTAAAAGCTGAATATGATTTTTGTTGAGGGGTGAATTATTAGAAGAATAAAATAGGTTCTATAATTGACATGTTTACATGAATTTCCAAAAAAAAGTGCTATGTTTTTATACTAGTATTTTAAAGTATATTCATAGAACAGTTCAAAACCCTTTGAATTTACAATGTATCATGACTCAGTGTTAGACAAATTAATTTCATATTTTTAAGAACATTTTATTTCATGCTGGCATTATGGAGAGATATGTTGCAAGACCTTAGTAAAGAGGTAGATTTGCAAATACATTGGGGAGAGAGACCCATTGATCGACATTGGAGCAAATAGAAGCATAATGTGGAATTTGTCAGTGGACATGAGCCATTGTAGAATCTGACATTTTATCTTTCAGTTGAAATCTTCAAAAGCTAGTTGTTTATGTCTGCCCAGTTTTTGCAATTTTGTCAATTCTGGGTATTCCCTAAGAGGTATCACTTTATTTAAGATTTCTTCACTGTCTTCATTTTCATCATCAGTGGTGACAGGTGACTTTCATTTAGAGACCATATTTTTCAAGGAATAAACATTTATACCATCTCAAAAGTCATAATCTATATACAGCAATGATTAGAGAACAAAAAAGGTGAATTGAAATTCGTTCACTTGCTAGGTTCACTTGCTAACTCGTACTCGAGCTAATGAAATCATTCCACATGACAGTTTTGTGTTGCTATAGCAAAAAGAGTCAAAGCTGTAAATGTTAAATCTGAATATCAACTATAGTCTGCATAACTTATCTGCTTCTGTATGAGGAAGGCAGGAAATTTAGTAATAAGAATAAAAGACCTTGCTGTTACCATTATTACTACTACCACCAGTAAATATTATTGAACACTTATTTCATGTCAGGTAGAATTAGGTTTAATTCTCACGACAGTTCTAATGAAGTGGTAATTATTATTTTTCCCATTTTTTTTTTGTTGTGGAAACAGGGCACAGAGAGATGAAGTAACTCAGCTTGTTGGAGATCAAAGGAGGGATGTGGTGGAGTCAGAATTCAAATCTAGGCAGTAAGGCCCCAGAGTGTCTGCTCTTTACCACTTATAGTACACTGTGGTTCAAGATCATTTTCACATGTAGCTGATATGAATAAGGCATTTAAATTCCTGAATTTTAAACTATATTATTGAGCTGTGTTATTAATCTTTTAAATGGCAAGGGTTAGTTAATTTAATACTTAGGTATTTATTTCTGACAAGTTGATAAACTCAACAGAATGGCATTAATATTCTAATACAGTATGTTCTTGGAATGGCTTTATTATGTAGCTTTTCCACATTTGAAGGAAGGGTATAAATTAAGCATTAGGAACATGAGTTTCAGAAAGTAGTTGTCCTGTAGGAAGATACAGGGGAAGTTGCAGGGATGGTTTTGTTGACTAGTTTAAATGGTCATTTGGACATGCAGTGGTGGACTGGGAATCTTCTGATCCATGGGCTGGTACCATCTGGTAATAGTTTGTGTGACCTAGGGGCATATGTAAGACAGAGAAATTTTATTAGAGCCAAAATAAGAGTCAGTTTTCTTCTGAATCTTGGTGGCTTAACTTTGTGGATGAGGAAGATTTAGGATCCAGTTCTGCTTTACTTAGACCACAATTCTTAATTCATGTTTATAAAAATTCTGGGTAGGAAGCTGTTAGGTTTAACTTCCTACATGATTCAGAAAGGTTGATACTCTCATTTACTTACTAATTTTTAATATTTTTCATGACATTTATTGCAAAAGGTACATAAATAATAAGAGTACACTTATTATTTATAATAATAAGTGTACTTATTATTGTAAGTAAACTTTTAGAAAGCAAACTTTTAGAAAGGATTATATAAAGTTAACTGAGAACTCACCTATTTTGGATGCCATATGAAAAATTGATTAGAGGAGGGTGAACTAGAAGACTGTTGCATTAGCATGAGAGATGATGGCTTGACCAGGATTATGGTAAGGGAGAGATGAACAGGGATGTTTCAAGTTTTTTTTTGAGAACAGAGAGCTAGGATTTGGCAATGGCTTGGTTATGAGGGGTAAGAGAGAATAAACCAAGGATGACTCTCAGATTTCTGACTTGAGTAACTGAATAGATGGTAAATCCACTTCCTGAAATATGGAAGACTGGTGGGGGTAGGTGAGGCATAGAAATTAAGAGTTTGGCCTTGGATATGTTAGGTTTCAGATGCCAGTGAGACATCCAAGTGGGAATGTAAAATATGCAGCCAGATATTTACTCTGGAACTCAAAGGAGACGTCTCCATTAGAGAGAGAAATTTAAGTGTGGTAAGCATATAGAAGTGGTATTTGGAGTTATGGAAATGGATGATATCTAGAGAGAAACTGTAGGGAGAACATCAAGGACAGAGCTGAATGCCCAGGAGTTCCAATATTTAGAAGTCATATAAAAAGAGGAGCTGGCTTGAGAAGAAAGAGCTAGTGAGGTATGGGAAATCCAGCAGCACATGGAATCACAAAAGCCAAGAAAGAAGTACAAGTAAAGACTTTCTCAGAGATCTAAAGACTTAGAAAGTTGACCGTTTAAGGTAACTTCTTTCTGAGGAAATTACTAAGGGCATATGAGTAAAATAAAATGGCAACCAAGAAAAAGGAAGATATAGGTTATAAGAAATAGTAAAACTAACCCGAGACTTCAGTGAAAGTAATTTCCAGCATGATAGCCATATAGCAGGCCCAGAAAGTAATCACTGAATTCGAGCAGGAAGTAAGTGTCCTTTGAGAAGGATGTAGTCAAGAAGAATGGAGTAGATTCTTAGTAGATGATTGAGTAATAAGTGGGAGAAAAACATCAATGATGTGATAATAAGGCCCGTGTAAGGCCAAAAGGTAACGGAAAACTCTAGAAAAAAAAAAAGCACAGGAAAGTTAGTGATCCAACTAGGAATCTGACAAAAATGTGAGCATGATAGAATGTAAGCAAAAAGCATTAATTCTCTATGATGGAGTAATTCATAATGGGTATAAATGTATTAAGTTACACAGGTAACCAATAGAAGAACTGAAAATAGTAATAAATTTATCTGAAATTGAAGAAGAGTGTGAGTTAAATATTTCAAAACAGAGTTGAAAATATCTCGAGTTGAAAATGATGGAGATAGCCTGCAAAAGAATTGAGAACGTATTAGTCGAGCATGGTTGCCAGGGGGGGTTGGAACCAGATAAGTGTGAGAGAGAAAGGGCTTTGCTTTTCTTTATACGTTTTCCTGTACGATTTGGTTATTTATCATGTGTGTTATTAATTTGATGGGAAAAAGGTAATGGGAGATAAATGAGTGAGGACAGAGTTTGTATAGCACACTCAGATGTAATTTGATTATGAATTCCTGGAGAGGATGTGAGATCAAGAGTTTTGTCCTCCTTACCTCTTTCATTCTTCTTAATTTAAAATGGGAGCTATTTCAGTGTGTTTGTTTATTGAAGGTGATCTAGTATAGCATTGTTTCTCTAAGTGTAGTCCCCAGATTGTCAGTATCAGCATCACCTAGGAATTTGTAGGGATGTACGTTCTTGGGCTCCATTGTGTATCTACTGATAGATACTGTGTTTGTACCAAGTCCTCCAGGTGTTTCATAGGTTTGCTAACGTCTAAGAACCACTGCAGCAGAGTATTATGTAATAACATATTATGATGTTGTAAATTTCACGAATTATGTATATTTTCTCAAATAGCCAACTTAAAAAAATACTCTGTTTTTTGTTACGTGCCTAGGTCCGATGCTGAAACAAAAAGGGCTTTGGAAGAACTGACTGAAAAACTTAATGAAACCCAAAAACAAGAAGTGGTGAGAACTCTTTATTTATAGAAAGTTTTATTTCATACACAGGTGGTAGAGTGATTGAGCTGGTTGTAGTCACAGTGAAGTTTACTAGATTTTAACTTTTTGGGTAGTATATGCCATTTTGTCTAAAAATATGTTCTTGCACCTTTTATAAAATATTCATGAATTTTAGGTATTTAAGTTTGAAATATTTATAGTGGTAGTATATTAGAGATAGAATTAATTTTTAGAGTTATGAATATTTGAAAGAGATTTAAAATTTTATTGACTCAGTGATATTGTGGTTTTTATTAAATGATATTTGAGAAATACAGAATTTTTTGGTAGTGACTCTGTAACACTCCCCATTAAGTATTTTCAGGTCATCTCACAGAAGTGTGTAATCAGCATTGCTGCAAAGAGCTCCTTGCTCTCTGTTTTTTGTTTGACGTGGTGTTGATTGAAAAAACCCCCTAATTCTCGAGTTTTATTATCTCAAACTCAGATTGTTGACACTCATTATTTATTTATTTATTTTTTGCGGTACGTGGGCCTCTCACTGTTGTGGCCTCTCCCGTTGCGGAGCAACAGGCTCCGGATGCTCAGGCTCAGCGGCCATGGCTCATGGGCGCAGCCACTCCGCGGCATGTGGGATCTTCCCGGACCAGGGCACGAACCTGTGTCGCCTGCATCGGCAGGCGGACTCTCAACCACTGTGCCACCAGGGAAGCCCGACACTCATTATTAAGTGATTGCTTTTTATCAAATCACTATTCCTGATGGAATTAAAATAAAAATGAAGTACATACATTGTCCGTTTCTTTGCATCATCAGGTTGTTTTTTTCCTTTTTTTAGGAGAAAAATATCATCAGAAATTGTCACTAAACTGTTGCAAACTTATCCACTTCAGGAGTAATTGTGTATTCATTCATTTACCACAAAAACGTTGTTTTTGTAAGGCAAGGGATAGTAGCAGAATTTTCTTAACTTGTTTTATTAAAATTGAGAGTTTCCTAATAAAAGCAGATAATTTTTCTCCAGTTGTACTTTTTCTCCAGATGTTACTGTGTTTACAGTTTCTTACATAGATGTGCTGAATTTATTTTGGAGTTTGAATTTATTGGCCACATATGCTAAGATATGGATATGTTCTATTTTTAAAGAGATCAACTTATTTTCTCTTATTTTTAATTTAAAAAGTTTGGAGATACAATGTACTTATAGAAAAGTACATGTATTATTATATAGCCTGATGAATTATTACAAGGTGAGCACACCCATGAAACCACCACCCAGATCTAGAAATAGAACATTGCCAGTGCACAAGAAGCCTCCTTATTCCCCCTCCCAATCACTAATTTCTCCTTTTCTGACCACTATTTTGACTTTTAAACCTATAGATTAATTTTGCCTGTTTTGAACTTTTTATATAAATGGAACCATGTAGGGCATTTTTTTTGTGTCTGACTTCTTTTGCTGATCACGATTGTGATATTTCTGGGTGATGTGTCATGTACTTGCAGTTTGTTCATTTTTTATTGCTCCTTAGTATTGCATCGTATGGATATACTGCAATATATTTTAACATTTTATGATAGGTATTTGAATTATTTCAAATTGTGGGCTGTTACACATAATCTACTGCTACCAATCTTATTGTTTTAGTGCACGTGTTTGCATTTCTGTTGGTATGTAACATGGAGTGCAATTGTTAGGTGCCTTCCAATTTAGTAGATACTGATAAACAGGTGTCCAAAGTGGCTTCACTAATTTACACTCTTTAGCAGCATATGAGAAATTGTGTTGCTTTTCAAAGACTTGGTATTATTAGTCTTTCATTAGTAGCCATTATGTTCGGTGCTTACAGTATCTCAGCATGGTTTTATTGGCATTTTCATGATTACTAATGATGATGAGCATCTTTTCGTATGTTTGTCGGCTATTGGCTAGTTTCTTTTTTGAAATGCCAGTTTGCTTCTTTTGCCCGCTTTTTTTACTGGCTTGATTGTCTTTTTGTTATTGATTTGTGGGAGGTTTTTATACATTTAGTATACAAGCACTTTGTCAGTTATCCGTATTGCAAATATTGTCTCCTATTCTACAGCTGCTGCTTCTTATTTTTAAAACTCTCTTAATGGAACCTTTTGTTAAAATTTAATTTAGTTCATTTTCCATCTTTTCTTTTGTGGTTAGTGCTTTTTTGACCTATTTGAGAAATTGTTCCCTATCTTAAGATCATCAAAATATTCCCTTATATAATCTGCTAGAAGGATAGTGTTTTACCTTTCACATTAAGATCTAGTATGTACTTGGAATTGATATTTGTTTCTGGTGTGAAGTAGAGGTCATACATTTTATATGGATATCCAATTGATTCAGTTTCATTTACTACGCTTTCTCCACTACTTTACAGTTCTGTCTTGGTCATAAATCAGATGTTCATATGTGCGGGCATCTGTTACTGGACTCTTCATTCAGTCATCTAGTTAATACATCTATCCCAGTGCGCATATCACACTGTCTTGATTACTGTTGCTTTCTGATAAGTTGTAATATGGTAGAGTAAGTCCTTTTACTTTGTTTTTCAAGCTTGTCTTGTTTGTTTTTTACTCTTTGCATTTCTGTTTACGTTTTAGAATCAATATGAAATTGTTTAAAAGCCTGCTGCGATCTTGATTGGATTACATTGTTTCTGTAGGTCAACTTGGAGAGAATACAAATATTTACATATTGAGTTTTCCAATTATGAACAGCAAATCCCTCCAATAATTTTTTATAGTTTTTTATCCAGACGTCTTATATTTAATACATTGTTTATAAGATTTATGCCTTGGAGTTGATATTTTTATGCTATTTTATAGAGTAACATTTAACATTTGAAAAATATAATTATCCTTGTTTTTCATTTGGAGGATCTACCCTATTACATTTAATGTAAATATTGATTTAGTTTGTATAAATCTACCATCTTAACTATTTGCTTTCTATTGGTTCCACCTCTGTTGTAATTTTTTCTTCTGTCCTTTGGATTTATTAGTTTTCATTTTTCCATTTTTCATATTTATTATCTTGCTAATTGTACCTTATTTTTAAATTCTTTTTAATGTAGGGATTAAATGTAGGGATTAGAACATGCATCCTTGATTTATTAAATCTAGTATAAATTAGCACTTTTAGCTCTTCCTAGCAAGTACAAGGATCTAAGAAACTCTAACTCCATTAACCTCATTCTCCACTTTTCTTTTACTATCATGTATTTTAATTCTATGTTTAATCGAGCCACACAAGACATCACTATTATTATTTTATACAGTAATTGTTCATTTAGATTTACCCTTATATTTATTCTTCTTTGTTTCGCATTTCTTTGTATGTTCTTTATTCCTTTCTACATCCCTGAGATTCCATGTATGCCTTAGGAACATACTGTAAAATTTCCTTTAGAGTGAATCTGCATATACCTGATAGAATTCCATTTAGAATTTTATTTAGAGTGGGTCTTTTGGTGACAGATCCTCTCTATGTTCATTTTTATAATTTTTTTTTGAGGTACGCGGGCCTCTCACTGTTGTGGCCTCTCCTGTTGCGGAGCACAGGCTCCGGACGCACAGGCTCAGCGGCCATGGCTCACGGGCCCAGCCACTCCGCGGCATGTGGGATCTTCCCAGACTGGGGCACGAACCTGTGTCCCTTGCATCGGCAGGCAGACTCTCAACCACTGCGCCACCAGGGAAGCCCCATTTTTATAATTTTTAAAATTTGTTTCTCCATTTGGAATGTTTTCTTCTGACTTTTCGTTTAGTCCCTTTCTTCAGCTGAATCAAATCTATTAAAACCACCCACTGGTTTTTATTTTCAGTTATTACATATTTCGTTTCTAGAATTTTTATTTCTTTTCTTTTTACTTTGTAGTTCTAATCCTCAATCTGTGTATCTGTTTCTCATAACTCCATCATCTGGATCTTCTATAGGTCTGTTTCTATTATGTCTTATTTTCCTGGGATTTTGATCGCATTGTTTTTGCCTTCTGTTTACTTTTGATTGTCTAGTTATTTTTGATGACAGAAACTATTTCATTCTCTTCAAAGTAAACTTGCATAGATAATTTGATCATTACTATGTATGAAAGGACATGTTTCCTTTTGGTTACAGATTAGATTGGGGCCATAGCACTCATGAATTACCTTATCATTTATTGTTGAGACATTTCAGTGTTAAACTTTCGTGCCAGGTTTCAACTATTTCTGATTCATCCTTCCTGCTAGTGTATAGTCCTTCAGGATTCCAGCCCACAGGCTGGGTTGTGGGGATGGAGAAGTTTAACCTGGGAACCCCTTTCCTGGGAAGGACTCTCAACTTGTTTTTCTTCTTTAACCCTATGCATCTGTTGAAAATCTATTCAGCTTCTCAGTGTCTCTGCTGCCTTTTCTGAAATGGGCTGATATTTGAGAGAGAAAGGATAGGGTTTCTTTTTTCTCTTGCATCTTGGTCTCATATGTCTTTATCTCTTTAGCTTTCCAATGCCTTAAAACAGATATTTAAAGTATTATTTCTTGCTATTTAAGTTATTTTCAGTGGAAGGATTGGTCTGAATTATCTAGTCTGTCATTTTTAGAAGTGAAACTCCCTGAATCTTTTTATATCTATCAGATTCCATTACTATGTTTGTGATTCTTAATGCACCTGTATGAGGCTTCTGTTACTTGCTACATAGGTATACAACTCGTGAGCATGCTTGTATCAAGGGCTTTGATCCAAACTCAGATATCTTCAATGTTCTGCTGAGATCCTTATAGATCTGACTAAGCCGTGGACATATCCAGTGGTCATGCTGGTTTTTGACATTGTTAGATAGACGGGATAGTTTGAGTTTGGGGAGTTTGAAATGCTAATTTGCATAATGCACATTACATTTTGTAAGTTTCACCTTTTGCCATTTTTACAAGAGAACCTGAGCTACTTCATTTATATTTCTTTCATATAGCAAGTAAAATTAGCAAGTACTGTCTATATAGTCTAGAGT